ACAAGGGGCAATGGGCTCGGACTGCAGCAAGGAAGGTTGAGGCTGGAGACTGATGCCCGCGTTTCCTCGCGCACAGTGCTACGCCCCGTCCGTGTTCGAGAAGTACAGCACCACGGTCCAGGTGGGCAGCAAGACGGTGGCCCTCGACTTGTACGACACCGCAGGTGAGGCCGTCTCCACCTCGGGGGGGGGGTTTGGTTTTTTGGGGGGGGGGAAATTTAAGACAGGCCCAAACGCTGGGGGGGTTTGGTTTTTTTGGGGGGGGGAAATTTAAGACAGGCCCAAACGCCCGAAATCGTGCCATCGCGGCTGCGGTGACCGTGGCGGTCTGCGTGAACGTGCGTTTGTGCTCGCGGATCCGCTCTTAACCGTACGCTCGACGGGGGAAGCGGCACTTAATATCTGCAGGTATTAAAACTCCGGTGCCCGGAAGCAAAACGTAGCGTAATCAACCAGGAAAACCCGTTAATTTCCTACCGTGTGTAATTGCCAACAGTAAAAGAGGTTTTAAAAAAAACAAAAAACCCCATTAGCGTTCAAATTAGAAAACCCCGAGTGCTCATTGCATTTGCAAACTTTGATGGGTTTTTTTTGTGGTTTCCTCTCGGGGAAAGGTTTGCGTTCGATTTACAGGGTCAGCGACGCTCGCTCGCGGTCGTAAGAGCCTCAACGTTTCAGACAGCGCCGACCGGGAAATTGGGTGGAGTTCTCCCAATATACACGCGTGTGATTGAAACGTGAATTTGGGCCGCTAAGGGGATTGCTGTTGTTATTTATATGAGTGCAATTGTGCTTTTAAATCCACTGTAAGGCATTCGAATTGTCTGTTAGTGTAACCCTTTGACAGAGAAATGATCTTTACAGGAAACTTTTTATCCAGTCCAGTAAGATCTTGATTACCTACATTTCTCTTAAGAAATTCCTAGTATGACTCTGTTTAACAACGAGAGCATCAAGAAACAAAACGATACGGGTCGTGTCTGCTGCACTGTGCAGCAGGCTGTCTTTATTGAGATGGAGTGTTACACGCCGGAGTTAAACGCCTACGTTAGATCTCAAAAGGGGTCTTTTTTGGTTTTTTCTGTAAAAAAAAATGCATCTGAGGAAGAGGAGGTGGTGCCGTCATCCTCCCTCTTGTTGCTAGAGCCCTTGCCCACCATGTGGCAGGCTCTGACTCAGTCCTCCTCTGCAGGAGAGGGCTTAAACTCAGTCTCCCGCTTTGCAGGTGAGTGCCCTAAACGGCAGGCGGCTCTGGGATTGGGGCAGGCTCTGTCCCTCTCATCAAAGCTTGTTCCACTTTGCTGAAAATGATTCAAGATTCACGAGATTAATTAGATCAGAGAGGAGGAAAGAGACTGATCGTGACTCTCTAGCCTAGTGGGTAGGGACTGGGACTGGTTAGAGACAACCCCTGGATGTTGCGAGTCACCCTCACAGATCTGCTTGTGAAGATTGTCCCCCCAAGTTGAACAGCCTGGCCCATCAGATTCACCTTTCCTGAACGTCGTTGTTTACTTCACATAGGACGCGTCGACATGTGCCCCCCCCAAATGTGCACCATTTAGTACTAACTGTGCAGTCCTGGCGGCACAACCGTACTGCGCAGTAGCTCGTTACTACACAGTAGCATCGGCATCGCAGTTTGTGCCCGCCGACTCTACGTTGCCATAGTGTCTCGTGGAGATGCGCCCAGTATGGATTTATCATTTCCACACATCCTTTAAAGTCCAGTCCTCTTCTAACAGGCAAAATTCCAATTGATTTCTTTATGCGCAGGATCGGGGCCAAGAATTGTGTCTCTCTTCTTGCAGATCTTGCTAGTGCCATACAAGAAGTAGGTTTAAAAAACCTTTTCAGTAGAACAGAACAGTATCAGAGAATGGCGCTTGATCTGCTGGAAAGTAAATGCCGAGGTATTTGTTTTCAGACAGGAGATGTTATTACACGATCGCTGTTCCGTTACATTGATTTTATTTCTGCCGTATCCTACAAGGAAGGGATGCTAAATCATTTCATCAGATGACTGTTGATGCACCGGAGTGGCAGCTGTGTCTGGTAGAATTATGGAAATACTGCATTTCTGTTGGTGCAGAGAGAGGAACAAGTGCGGGCCACAACCTAATGGAAATCAGTTTAGTCATAAAAGTAAAATGATTTGAAAGCATAGTATATTGGCTGCAGTTTATGGGGAAAAAAAGTTGATTTGCTTGGGCTCTTGAGTTTTAATTTTATCCCGGTCATGCTGCCATCTGACTAGCTGACCCAGTTTCTTCTTGCATACTGGCCTAAATTTTCAAGAGTGCCAAGTGATTATGGGACGCCCCCTTTTTCAGTACCCAACCTGAGGCCCCTCAAGGGTCTCATTTTTACAGGTAAGATACTCAGCAGGTCGTCGGCCTACTAAGCTGTCTCAAGACGGGTATCCAATCTCACTTGATACTTCGAAAATTCTCCTCGCTCCATTTTATTATGATTGGGGCATCTATGGGTATGCCATTTTTTAAGCTGCATTAGTAAAGTTAGACTGTCTTTCTTAGCTATTTATATGGCCCCATGGCTGTAATATCTGAGTGCTTCACAACCTTTAATGCATTTATTCATACAACACTACCGTGAGGTACAGAAACACCATCTGTAACAAAGGGATAAGGCATAGAGAGCCTAAGTGACTTGCTCAGGAAGTTGACCTAACCACTGGATAGTTGTTCCCTTTAAATTGTCTCAAAGCCAGTAGGAAAGTCCTTCTAGATATGGACTGAACAGTGTCAGTCATCTGCTTTGAATAGCAATGAGCTGAATTAGTCTGGGGCTTACATCTGCAAACTTACTCACCCTTGGGGGGGTTTTCCCTGTTTATCTCAGATATCTCTGATGTAAAGCACATCAGTGATAATAAATTATTTTTCTGATGTCAAAGTAGATTTTTATAAAGAACACAATTCCAGAGAAGATGAGAATACACTACACATACACCATAAATACACTTTATCCATGTGAGAAGGAAAATGTGCCTCATTTTCTATTTAAACTAGTAATTAGGCAATGGGTAACCATTTAATGCCTCTGGAACTGTATTATTACATTTTACATTTACACTGAGGTAGTATGTACAAGTCCAAGGCAGTTCAAAGACCCAAAGTGTGTATAATTAACATTTTTGATACTAAGGAAGAGGTTAACACTTGAAGCGGAGGATGTCAGCCAGTGGGTGTTTTCTCTTTTCAATATAGAAGTGTAGGAAGTGTTTAGCTAACATAAGATTAGTAGGACTTATCTGAAGAAAACCCCCCACTCTATTTTAAACATGATGGCTTTAAAATAAACTGTTACTAGGGTCATGGAAGAGCTTGTCTGAAAAGATTCAAATAGTTACAAGAATTTGAGATTGATGAGCCCAGACTCCCTAGATCCTTCTATAAATACGAAAATAGCCAACTTCTGTGTCACAAATGATAGCAAGGTTATGATGGGAGATTTCTATCCTGTCCAGTGAAAAGGAAGATAAATAGAGGCATTCAAGTACTAACTTAAATAATGTTGGAGCTGTTTCATTCCCTAATAATGTATTAGGGAAGACACGGATTTTTATTTAATGAAACAAAACATTGAGACTTAGTAAAAGCTACTCTATAAATAACTACCTAGTTTTGAACATTTTTTTCTTTTTCCCTCCTCATCCTTAAGCAGGAGTTAGAAATGCAGAAGCTATTTTGTCTAGCACACGATGGCAACCAAAGTGCACAACCAGAAAGATACTTTAATAAGAGTCTTAATTTCTGAAGTGCTTTTCATTTGGAAGGAACTTCACGAAGTTCAAAATCAGTCATCTCGGGGTTGAAGGGCTGCAACTAACAGATACATCCCGCAATCGAGGGTGGAAATAATGAAGGAAATCCCCATTTTCCAGCAGTAGCATAGAGCGTGGAGGACCTCAGGTTTTATAGGTGCTTTCCAAGACACCCTTGTACATTAAATTGAGCTGCATGTATCTTACTCCCTCTGAAAGATGAAGCCTGATTCAACTCTGCCAGGTGTTTCAAGGACTGCATTCTGACCTGATGGTGAGATCTCTAAGCTGTTCTCTCGCCCATTGAGAGGAAGACATGAACAGCAGGGTTGTATAGAAATATTAGACCAGGGCTTAGCAATGTTTTTGGCCAGAATGCCAAAAACACCCCCAAGCTCAACTTGTAAGATGGTGGTGTGCCAGGGGAGGATAGTGGGGGAGTTGCGAAGGGGACGATCCGTTTTGTGGCAGCGCAGCCCCGGCCCCTTCCCTGCCATCTACCCAAGGCATGTGTGCCAAGCAAAATGCATTCACGTGTCATGCTCTGGCACCTGTGCTAGGCGTTGCCTACCCTTGTGCTAGAAGTAACATCGGAGGAGAAATATCCCCATGAAATATATTTTCCATGTGTATAATTCAAGCTGAGAGGAGGTTTAACTTTATGTAAGCATTTTAGGAATAAGTAAGAATCATAACTTGGACTAGCACTGGCTAGAACTTAGGTTGCTTACAAGATGCTGTATTATCGCGTGCCACTTGCTCCGTGATCTTCCTTGTCAGAAATATCTTCCTGCTCTAGCAGGAAGTTAGTGGTCAGTGCACTGTAACCTGCACAGCGTTTGTAATAGCTATTGTTTCTCCTGCAGAAGTGCATTGCAACTGCTTATTCAATTAAATCTCCTTTTTGTCCCGTACCTGACAGTCAAGTAAAGGAACATCCAATAGTGCCGATGCTTTCTGCTGTAGTTCAGGACATTTGGATGCAATTTCTGATGCAGGTTTCTCACTCCAAGGCTATCTCTGAGTACACAGCTTGGTAAAAGGGCATGTTCAGCGTCTTATCGCTCTGGGTGCCCAGTCTGGCTGATTAAGGAGTGACACTATCAGTCTCCACATGAAGTCCCTTCCAGTTCTGTGTGGCCAGAATGATGATTGCCATCAAGCCTTGAGAAAAAATGTAATTGAAGGCGTAGGAGGGACTGATTTCTTAGTATTTCGAAAGGGCCAGAACATGGGCCCAGGAAGAAGAGTCCTGAGAAAAAATGAAAATCTGTAAAATGGTGAGCCACATTTCATGCTTGATTCATCTCTGTCAGAAAGTGAGTTTCCCAAAACTTCCCAAATGGAGTGCTGGAAATATAGACTCAACAAATTTGCAGCAACTCTAAAACCTTGACTAACACAAAATGAGAATTTAGGCTTTTTCCTTTAACTCTGTAGGTTCTTCATTATGTGATTACATTTCCACTTTAATAGGAAATGTACCTCATTTGAAACAGCACATTGGTTTGACCTTTGGAGTGACATGCAGTGTCCTAACTACGTGAAGGGAGAGAATCTCTTTTCCAGGTTGGCAGCAATGGGCAACACTAATTGTGAGATGAAGAGAACAGCACTTCTGCCTGTAGAGTCATTGATAGTTCGCTTTACATAAATATTTTTTTTTGCCTTTCCTGTCACCAGGAGTCCCAGAGGAAGTTTTCCACTCAGACTGTATCCTATTTGTAACCATGCATGGCTTTTCTAACTAAAGTATCCAGAAAATCTGAAAAGAAGTTTCTTTTTCTCTCCCCTGCCTGCTTAGTCTTTCAGCATATTATGAAATACAGGCAATACGTTTCAAACTGATAAAGTAAAACACTTTATTACACAATGCATGAAGAACTCTGGAACTCACTGCCCCAAGATATTTATGAAGGAACAAGCTTACCAGGATTCAGATATTCATAAGAATGGCATAAGCTGCAGGAACACCAACCAGGATTAAAATGCATGAGACAGGCAAGGTTCTTTGGGTAGATGTGATATCTTTTATTAGACCAGCTACATAGCTGGAAAAAAGTTCTTCGCAACCTTTCGGGCACAAACATCCTTCATCAGGCACAGGGAGACTGCTGGTGTTCTGTTCTCCAGTGAATATATGAGAGAGAAACTTTCATGCTTCAGGACAGAAGCTAGGCATTTATTAGGTGGTGTTGGAAAGAAGTATTCCCGTTGGGCAGGTTATTATATAATTGTCTGTTCTGGGAGTTTAACGCCCTCCTTTGAGAGCAGACTGGATGAATCTGTGTGAGACATGGTACATAGGCTCCTAGAGAGGCCTGATGGCAAGTATCATGCTGCACGTAAGGGAGAGTTTTCATTCTGTCCCCTTGCAGAGGAGCAGAGCAGCTATTGCATCAAGGGTCTGTCTGGACCAATGTGTGGACTGAGCAGTTCATAGGCTGGGTCACTTTCCCTTTTTGGCAGTTTCACTAGTGAGAGGAACAACTCATGGCATAATTTCCTCCTCCGTTTCCCTTTTGCCATCAGCTTGAGGCTCTAGCTTTTATTAAGGCCAGCTTGTGGGATATTGAGTTAGTTGACATTCAGGGCAAGCATGAAGTCTTTGTCAAGAAAAAGGGGACCTCATGGAAAGATGCATAACAAATGAAACAGTGAGCTTATTATAGGCACAAAGATGCAGGAAAGTAATGTTAACTATCAATTATTTTACAATATTTATTGTAACATTTATTGTAAAATAAATTTTGAAAATTTTGGAATAGTGTAAAACATTATAGTGATCTCTTAAAAAACAACTGAGTCATATTTTCTACCGTTAATTCAGAGCAGCCAAAGAGGAGTTTCAGAGTCTCATCAGTTGACGTTCTTTTGTCTCTTTCATTTAACAGTGAAAGGAGAACTGAAATCGATACACAAGACTGATCACATGTAATCAAGGATTTTGCATGTGAGCTCAATGGCCATTTCTGTTCAATCCTATAACTTTGTTTTAGCTGGTCTTGCAGACCTCTTTTTAAATCCATGCTGAAGAAACTTTGACCACCACCTGTGCAGCATTACTAAGCAAGAATGTGTTCTCTCTCACACCCCTTTACAGCTAGGCCTCCATTTTATCATCGGGATTTGCCCTCCATCATGAGGTCGTCTTTGATGAGGTTTTGTGCAAGGGAGGAGGGCAAGAATATGGTGCTTCTGCCATTTTGACAAATTCTTACAATTGTGCTTATGGGAAAAGAAAAGAAAGACATGTATAGCTTGCGTTGTAGCCAATCAAACCAAGAGTAATTTAAGAGCCCAGACCATGGTTCCTTAAATAACATGCAAATAATACCGTCTTACCAAACACAGGCACTGCAAACAAACCAAAAGTCACAATCATCTAACTGTTGTTCATTGGTCTAAGTTAAAGGACAGCAGTACACAAGCCACCTCTGACATTAATTTGCTGAGGGTAGATTTGAAATGTGAGGAACATGAGATTTGTTTAATTTGTGATGTCAGTTTGTTGCTGATCTAGATCCCTTGCCTGCATAGCTCTTCTGGCTGACACCTTACCCCAGGTCATCATAACACCTTCATGAAGCAAAAAGACACCAGAATTATTGTAACCAAACACATGCTCTGGGGAGCAGGTCTCTCTTAAATAGCTAATAATGTGCTTTGTGTACGAGGTTGGAGGCTCCAGGCATGAGCGTGCACTGATTTCAGCCCTGAATGAGTTCCCATTAATCATCTGCAGCCTTAAGAAGCAAGATAAGAAAAGTACTTTAGGTACAAGACCCCATAGTAATAAAATAACAATATGGTGGCTCCTCACTCAGATCACAAGGACAGTGCGAGAGGGGCACAGAGGACACTATACTCCTGGGGCTCCTCTCTGTCCAAGGACAGCTTTCCCGTCTAATTTCTCTTGGAGTGCAGTTAAGTGTTGAGCCATAGGTCCTGTGAGCTTCAGTTTGGTCTCATTGTCTGTGCTCTTGTTCAGGGTTTGCGCGTGCATTTTCCCTCTCTTGATTTTCAGCCAGTCATGGCTTCATACATCCTCCTTTGCAGTCTAGTCCCCCTGTGAGCTGCTGGATCCCTGCCCAGTTCCCTGCTTCTCGCTCAATCTCCTTGTCCATCTGTCAGATTGTCTGTTACCCGGATCTTCCCTCTGTCTCCAGCCAGCTGTTCACCCTGATCTTCTGTATTTTCCCTAAACCTAATCCTCTCTGCCTCGGGATATCATTTTTACTTGATCAATCTGGATCACGCGGGCCCAGATCAAAGGTATTTAGGTGTCTAACTCGCACTGAAATAAGTAGGAGTTAGGAGCCTGAATACTAGTGAGGATTTGGGACATGGTGTCCTGCAGCAGTTAGCTACTGCTCTGGATCCCTGTTCCCAGAATGCTTGTGACCGTACTGATTCTGGCAGGTGAATATGGTAACCAGCCAGCAGGTTCACTGCAGCACACACACACTTCTGTAAAAATAAACTAGTCATCTGGAGCCAAAAGATATTTAATTGGCACTCAGAGGACTTTGAGTATTTGCTTTTTCTGTGCTCTGCATTTGGCATTCTAGACATGTGAGAACTGCAGAGGAACAGTTTGCTGCTGTGCAAGTGTACATTTCCTCTTGTCCTCAGAGTTATTTTCTCAGTTTACAATTAAAAATAATTATGTGGTTCTTCTCTGCCTACCTAGGTCAGCTTAGACTAGGCAGATGAAGCCACAAAGCACTGGTGCATATGTTCCGCTGCTGACTTTCAGTCACATTAGTTTCACTTGCAAAAAAGGGCATCTCCATCATGGTTACCTGACAGAGCGTGTTCTTCATACCCTAACTGCAGCGAGACTGTCACCGTGTGTTGAAGAACATTCATCTATCTGCTTCACAAATCACCAGTGTTACTGCAAAGTAACAGCAAACAAATTGAGAAGCTGGAGTGGTTACCATCAGTGATTGAGTCACCGTAGAAGATAGCTTGATTTCGTAAAGCGACCTTTGTAGAGGCTCAGAGCAAAACATGTAAGAGTAAAAGCAGTGTGTATGCAAATCAACACTTACTGATAGTGCTTACAACTCACTTCCTTTTTTTCCTCTTGACATGTTTAAATGACATTTCCCAGAAACTGCGGCACATCTATTGCAAACAAGTAGGTGGCTTTTGGAGAATGGGACAAAATCATTTTACGTTCTATAAATGCAGCAGAGAGCAAGGCAATCCTTAATTGTTTATTTCTGGATTAAAAGTTTAAGAGTTCAACCCTGCCTTGTTTTGCAGCCATCCAGCAAAGTATTGAGAGTAAGAGCTCTCAGCATGGCATAGACCTGGGTCCTACCTCAGTACCCCCTTATGCAAATGGCTATGGCAAGATGAGTAATAGGGTTTTCAGTTGGGATCACCCATACATAATACCTCATTAACTGGCACCAAGGGATTAAATATAGGAGATAGAAAATTCATGTTTTCTAGAGAGATATTGGATTTTCTGTACCTGAAGCCCCCTTTACAACACCATGATTGGAATCAAGTTACAGGATTTAATAGGACTTGAATCGTCTCTCTGTCTTGACCCCAGCTGACTTCCTGCCCTTGGGCAGGAGGCTGGAACCCATGATCTTGCGAGGTCCCTTCCAGCCCCAATGTCTATGAACCTATGAACAGCACCAGGCACATCCTCTGCTCAGTAAATACTGGCACTCCTGACCTGCTTTTTGAACAGTGTTTCACAGACATGTGAAAAAAACAAGATACTCATAATTGAGTTATGTAAATTTTCAGTCCACATGATTACATTTTAAGAAATAAAGACATGTTCTTCTTGGCCTTGAGATTAGTCTTATTATAATACCTGTTAAAAAATGGGTTTCTTTTGTCCAAGTCATCATTACTCTTTTTCTGTGTTTCAGGGCAGGAGGATTATGATCGGCTACGGCCACTTTCTTACCAGAATGCAAATGTAGTCTTAATTTGTTATGATGTTATGAGCCCTACCAGCTATGATAATGTTTTAATTAAGGTAAGAGACCTTCCTTCATAATTGTTTGACCCTTTCATATGAAACGTAATATATTAGCTGGGTGCCAAGATGACCTATCTATAAATGTGATGCTTTTGGCAAGCCAAATCCCCAGTATAATAATGGATAAATTGATTTATCACCACACATGGAGCAATGGGCCTAAACCAGGGGCGGGCGATTATTTTGGGCAGAGGGCCACTTAGTGAGTTTTGGCAAGCCATCGAGGGCCGCATGACAGGCAGCCCAGGGTAGATAAATATTAATTTTCTAAATTTTTTTAGGGGCCCCGCAGGCCGGATAGAATGGCCTGGCCGGCTGTATCCAGCCCCCGGGCCACATTTTGCCCACTCCTGGCCTAAACCAAAGTGCTTGGATCTGGACCTCAGCTGCTCCAAGGTTCAGAACTGAGGGCTGGTTTTGTATTTGAAATGAAAAGAGCAATAAACGATCTAAAAATGAGAGAGAACAGAATCGTAACATTACATTTTACCTTCTCTCTCCAAGCAGTCCCTACTCCTGGCTTTCAAAGCAAATGAGCCTATTTGTGAGCCCTTCCTGCAAGGTGGGATGGGACATTAGGATGCCCAGCACCTTGTTGGGTAGGATCCACCATCAGAAAGACAGAAAGTTCAAGGAGGTACTGCCAGTTTCTGGGTGCTGAGAGAGAATTTACGTTTCTAGAATTGTGTGCAGTGGGGAGAGGTCCAGTTTACTCTTCGGTGTTTAATGGCTTCCTTCAAAATTGGAAGTCCTTTTCATGCTGAGTGTTGTCCTCCTATTTCTGGGCCTGCTGCTGTCATGGAATATTGTAACTGGTACCATAGAGAAGTAAGGCTGGACAGAAAACATATCTGCATGAGTTTTAAACCAGCCAGCTCAAGTAACGGTTAACAACATAGCTTTGTCATCAGCACAGAGCTCAGTGTGCCCTAGTCTTTATTTACCCCAGGTCTCAGGCAGATTTTGCAGCTACTTTGCAGTTAACATGGTTCTATCTATGACAGGCCTGCAGTTGTTAGAGAGGAGCCTAATGATCTGTAAAGCCACACTGTTAGACTTTAGGTCCAAAATATGACCTATAGTTGCTTAGAATGATCATAAATTAGGGAGAATTTGATTGTAAATCTGGATTATAAATTATAGTTAGTTACAATTCACTGTTCCCACTGTTGACTTTAAAGAAATAAAAATCTATTTTGTTCTTTGCAGATCTTATAAAGAGCTCTGCATTCTTGTTTTCCCCTCTCTTCATGGAACACAAATGTCATTCCTTCTGCCAGTCTAGAAATAAGAGGACAACACTCACCATGAAGAAGACTTCTAATTTTTAAGGAAGCCATTAAACACTGAATAGTAAATTGGCCCTCCCCCCCCACAATTCTAGAAATGTAAAATTGTCAGTGTCTCTTTAATGTATTTAAGCAGTTTTCTGCTCCATCTGCTTCAAGATGGCCCAGTAGGATAATGTCAAATTTGTGTGCGACAGAGGCTGGTTTTATTCTAAGTTTAAGCACCCATTTGTATCTGTTGAGTTTAGCATTTCTACTTGATCTTTGTGATACAGAAGCTGCTAAACTTTGCAGTAACTAAAACCAAATCAACAAAGGTAAATGAAAGTCCTGGTGCTGATTCCACAGGTGACTTCAGAGCATTCTGAGCTTACAGTAGTGTAAGCAAGCTGTGCCACAGACTGCATTTTACTTCCAGGTTTGCACAGCATCCAGTCCTGCTTGGGGCTTCATTGTATCAATTAGATGCAGCTTTCTGTAGCACTGGCAGCTACTTGACTTATAGGAGAGAGAGAGGACTTCAGTATTAACTTCAATAACGTTTTATATACCAGTCTGCTTATGTAGGGGTCAAATCCGGCTTGCTTGAAGTCATTAGGAATATTTTCTTGCCCACATCTTGGGTGGGAATACAAGTTTGTGCTTTGAAAAAGCAGTTAGCTTTTTCAGACTACTCCATCTTGACCTGAGCACATACTCTAAAAGATATGTGAGAAGGGATATAGAAACACCACTGCAGAGTTAACGCTCCGTAGTCACAGAACTATTAATCACCGATTCTTTAATGGAAAGAGGCTTTCCACATTTTTACCAGGGAGGTGGTGGTACATCTATAAACACTTGCTTAAACAACACGTTACTATCCCACTCCATTCACAGCATGGGATGAAGGACTTCCTTACCTTTCTGGACTTTAGATGTACATAACACACGGACTTTGTTCCTTGGCATTATCATTCTAACTTTTTTTAAATGTTTCTTTTTCTGCCACCAGTGGTATCCTGAAGTCAGTCACTTCTGCCGGGGCATCCCCTTAGTACTCATCGGCTGCAAAACAGACCTTCGAAAAGACAAGGAACATTTACGGAAACTCAGGTCTTCTCAGCAGGAACCCATCACGTATACCCAGGTAAAGACAACAGCATTTAAAAGGTCTCCCTACTTTACTGTAATAGGGAATGGTCTCAGTGATCAGGAATAGCAACTACAGGTAGCAAAGGGACACCCAGGCTATTCCAAAAGCAGGTAAACTGGATAAGCTGGCGATTTGGATACTTTAGCATAAATTGTGTGAGGTTGTATGTGAGGTTTTATGTCCTTTTCTGCAAGTGGGGGGAATTAAACGTGGCAACTAAACAAAAGACACTAGATGTGTTTGGAGAAGGTTCTAGATGCATTTAGATATTTTTAGAAGGGTAATTCAAGAATGCTCAAATATGGAAAAAAGGTTTCCTCCTCAGGAAGAAGAGAGGTTGGCTTGACTCTTTCTGGGCCTTTTAATTCCCATTGAAATGCATCTAAATAGCAGGCCACAGAGAATAGACTATTTCAAACTATTGGTCCTGCCTTGCTTTTTTTTCCACATGCCTGTTTTGCTGCCATGAACTCATAGATGGCTTAGACAGGCCACTGAGTCTGCATGAACTTCTTCCACTTCTTTGTTTTTTAATAGTGTATTGCCTCCATTAGTGACATTTTGACCTTGGTTGTGATAAAGTTTAAATACATTAGGATACAACCTATGGGATAGTAAACACTGAGTAGTAAGTCTGCAAGAATTGTTTTGCAGTCCCTTTTTTAAATAAAGCATTTCAAGAAAAATGGCAGAACACATTTTGGAGGCAAAAAATATTCACTCTCAAATTGTGGCTCAAGAGCTATGTCACTTCAACAAGCTACTGCTTATTAGTGCTTAAAAACATCACACTTTGCATTATCAAATATCTGCCATCCATGGACCCAAAAGCACATTACTAGGAGGACTTAGGTGAATACTGACTTCCTCATTTTACAGATAGGGAAAATTAGCCAGGCGGGTGAACTGCCCATCCTGCATCTCACAAAAAAGACTTCTTGTCTGCCTGCTCTTGTTTTGCCTCAGCATACCTTTTCCCTTCTTGTCAGAGGTTAAGGAGACATTTTAGCAACATTTCAGACTATTCTGTGTTCAGGTTTGGGCAAGTTCAGTTCATAGTGCAGCACAGTTATGCAACATTATTAAGGGGAACTGTCTACTGCTAAATGAACACTGTAAAAAGAGACTACTGCTGCATCATTGTTAACCTGTTGTGCTTTTCAATTGTTCCTCCTCAACTCCCTCCAAGAAGATATTTTTTTGTTTTATTAGTTTGTGAATTCCTGCAAGTAGTCTCACATGTGCTTACTGGCTTTCATCTTTAGCATCAAACAGGAGTGACTTATTTCAGCTCACAGTGTACCATGAGTCTTGAAACCATTACTTCTAGTAAACTGTAGAAACTTATGAAATCATGTTTCTGTGTCTCGGAGTATCAACAGATGTCTTCTTTGGAGCAGGATCAGTTGCATCAGGATGTCCCCCAGCACAACTGATCTGCTTCTGTGGCATCCACAGACTTCACTCAGGAAGCTGTCCCACAGGGCCAGGCCCAGGGGCTCTGTCATTTGCAGAGACGCACCCTGAGCTGGGGCACGGCCTATGCTGCATGTGCTTGGGGAATCCCCTGCTAGCACAAACTAGTAACTAGGTATAGTTGAAGTCACAAATGTGGGCATTTGTGGTGCAACAGGGCTGTAACATCTTTTGGCTTTTGTGCCACCATAAAAATGTTCATGGTGGCACTAAGGTGACATCTGTTTGCAGCCAGAGAATCTGCCACTATGATTTATAAAGACCTAGATCGAACTCTTCAGACCCTTTACAAGCAAGCAAACTAAAATTTCTTACAGTAGCAGTCAGGTGCTCCAACAGGACAGCCTCATTCAACTCAAGATCTAGAACTATTGCTTTGACCTCTAAATATCTTGGAGCAAGTCTGTGCTGGGAGCAGATGCCTCACAAGCTCCCGTAGGAGTTCACTCATGCAGTACATGAGACTTCTGATTCCAGGCACAGAAAAGCTGAGAATTTTAAAATCAAACAGCAGTTGTCCACTGCTGAAGCCCACTGATGTCTGAAAGCAGAAAACCCTCATGAAAAGTTGTGATCAGACCAACTTTACTGTACTAGATGGAGAAAAATCACAATCCCCACCTTTTCCAGTGCTGATCTGAGAAATTGGGTGATAATTTTTATATCTGCTTATGAGAACAAGCATTCTGCTCAGGGATACACTTTGAGAAACTGCATCCTTCAGCTCACAATTAGGCAGAGCCAGCACTAAGAACTTTCTGCTGCATCATACAGCTAAGCTGGCATCTTCATTAAACTTGTAAAAAGCAGTAGTTTCTCTATACAGTCCTTCAGCATTTCACTAATGCCACTTGTTCCTTACCCTACAAACATAAGGATCTGCCCCCATCATATAAAAGCCTGTTCTTAATTATTCACTTCTCTCTACTGTAAGTCCAAGTTAACTTGTATATTTTTCCTTCTAGGGGGAAGCAACCTGTCGCCAAATGAATGCAGAAGTTTATCTGGAGTGTTCAGCTAAATTTCGTGAAAATGTAGAGGATGTTTTTAAAGAAGCAACAACTATTGCACTGAATGCCATAAAAAAAGCCAAGCGCCAAAAGAAACACAAGCGGTGCTCAATATTATGATCCAGATCTCTAGGACTGTAAAGAACTTCCAACCACTTGAACCTGCATATTACCAAATAGTTCAGCGTCAGAGACCATTTTCATTACATTTTTTTTTATTCCTACTTTGGTTCTGTTTTTAAAAATTGACTTTCCTCATAATATTTTTGCACTTCTTTTGTACTTGTCATGAAGACTTGAAAGTATTTTTTCCCTATTTGTTAATGGTGGACATCTGGCTTTTACTCCCAACCGCAAATGACCATCAGCCTGCTATCTTTTAATTGTGTGCTGGGTGCTTGACTGCTGGTGCTTGTACTGCTTAAAGTTTTTTCCTCACCTCGCTCTAAAAAGTAACCCTTGACATTTATGGCTTTGATTTATTGCGACTGTTCACCAACAAACTAATTTAGAAAGGGTATTTTTCTCTAAGGAAAAGCAAAGTTAGAGCAGACTGCCAGTCGCATTCAGGGAAGACAAATCAAGTTCTGTTCTGATGTGTTCGAGTTGTATTTATAGCAACAGTAGTATGAAGCCACCTCAAGCAACTTCCCCAACTATGCATACAGACAGTTCTACTCTAGCTGTATTACAAGGGGAGCTCTGCAAAGCTACTGACCTAGAAGTCTCTTTGTCAGCTTTATGGTAAGGGATGTGTTCAACACCATTGGTCATAGTGTACTCAACGCCATTCAAAACAATGCAGAAATGATGAACCCTGTTAAAGTAGATACTTAGTCCCCCGAGAGGGAGATCGTACGTGCAATATGGGCAAAACTAGTTTTGCAATAAACAAGTGCAATTGACTCCATATACAGTGTCTGTTTTAACATAAATAGGAGTTGCATGTTTATTACATGGTGAAATCATCCTTGCTGCCTCAAGCCGAATTTCCATTTCAGTGATGTTTGCTCAGTAATGACTGCAGGTATCCCAGCTATTTTTCACTTAAGTCAGAGGGAACCTCCTGCTCGGGAAACTAACAGCTGATCTTGTCTGCAAGTCATAGCGTATCAAACACTGCACATTAAAAGACACGTGTAGCCTGAGTATTCAATATTTTAAGTTAGAAACCGCAAGTTTTATAACTGACTTCTCTTCCTTTTGTTGCATAACACACTGTTATGCGATGGATCACTCCAAAGGACTTTCCTATTTCTTTTGGGTGGGATTCGAAGGTTGTTAACTTGATCCTCAGATTTTTGGAGACATGGTTCAGGTTCAGTTAAGATGCACAGAGGCCTCTATGTAGCTTATAATGGAATACTCTGTAAATTGAGAGAGACACTCAGTCTAGAAAGGATGAATCAACCAATGTCCAGTTCAAGTGCTATGCTGCACTTGTTAAGGAAAAAGACATTTATCCAGTACGATCTGGAGCTATGCATGTGCTTAGTAATGACGAATTTAAAATGTTAATACAGGGCAAGCTGTAATTTATAAGTAAAGAGCTGAGCCAGAATCACAGGCATTACTTTTAAACTTTGTCATTCTGTAGAATGCTACTAACCTATCACATGGAACGTGAAGTTAGGTTACCTGCTAAAAACTCAAGTTCGTTTTTCCTTAGGAATGACAAGCTTTATTGGTCAGATCCCATAGGATCTAGCATTATTCTCAAAGCGAGCAGCAATTTGCTTTTCAGACGTGAAGGGTCTAAGAAAGCAAACTTACAGGATATACAAGGTTTAAGCCAGTGGTATTGTAAAGTAGAGTGCAACAGTTGTTTAAAATATGTGAACTGCAATTTATTATTCACACCATAACCAATACCCACGTATCAGCTTATTTTTCTGAGGGGAAAAACAAACAAACTATCGAATATTACATCTTTTTGCAGAAATTCATTGAGTGGTATATATTAACGAGTATAAAACAATAAGATGTCAGGAAATAGTTTTGCTAGCATTGTGGGAACAAGTGGAATGGAACAATTGAGAGTCTGTAATGCACATATATTTCTGTATGATCATGTTAAAAGGCCCATTTTAAACATCACCACATTTGGCCAAATTCAATTCCAATGTGTGCCTTGTGCTAACCCAAGTGAGGTCACTGCATTTGAACAGCATATAGGTCAGGACACAGTGTCTATAAATTGTTTTAGGACATGTAGGCATTCATGGAACAACTCAATTAGCTGCAGCTGAATAAGCAAGTTTAAGTCAGAATGCCAAGAAACAAGAATGAATGTGAACAAGTATCACCTTCCCTTCAACATTTCTGCCAGAGGAAGATTTAAGTTCAATTAAACTGAGCTGGTGACTCAAGATCCCATGTAAAGGAAGAAGTGCAGGTGAAGGTATTAATACTTCTCATCAGTTCTGTTTCCACATATGCTGCATGTGTCTTTCAATAATGGCATTAGGAGTAAAAGTAATTAGATACTTATTGCCATTGTGTTCAGACATTTTCAGGAAGAATGTTCCAGAAAACCTCAGAATCTAAAAAACTATTGAAAAAAGGTAGTGAAACAGCTGTGTATTTTATTATTTATTTTGGCCCCTTTTCAGGGTTGAACAGATTACCTGATCTCTCTGGATGAATATCAAGTCTTCCCTGCAAACAAAGTCAGTAACAAAACATAACATTTAAGCCATTCATTTTCTTAAAAAAAATAAATGGGTGTCTGTTCTATTTCTTAAATAATTTTTTTAAAGTGTATAGAGCAGCAAGATGTACAGAGATCACCAAGGTTTTCCACAGTACACATGAGTTGGCATATGTCACTGAAAAATGTGTTTCAGAAAGCTTTCAAGGCAGCAGCTGGTCTGCTTTACTGGTTGACCGTAAGCATTTAAAAAGTTTTGCTAGTGCAGTACCTGGGGCTCCAGAAATGGTGCTGGACAGGAAAAAAATGTGAAGATCATTACCAAAAATGGAATTACAGTAGACGTCACTTTCTCCCAATACTTATATTTCTTCTGGCAGGTGCATGCTGCTGTATACACACAAACAAAACAAAACAAAAAGCAAAAATGTTCTGTATTAAATATATATAAATAGTAGGACTGCAGATTGGAGAGCAGTGCTTGCATAATACTGTACAGCAGGCTGTGCTGGGAGAGTTCATGTTCTTATAACACCAACAGGATTCTTTCCAAGGTTTGTTTGCAATATAGCTGCAGTTTAAATGGTCCGGTCTGAAAAAAAGGAACCACCAGTAGGAGTAGGCAGATGAGAATCCAAGTTTGACTGTCCATCCCTGCCTGAGTTTCACAATTTCTTCATTTTGCCTTTGTTTTTCTGAAGTTTAGTGTGCACAACCTTTAAAGTAGTAAGGAAGTTTCCAAGGAAAAGCAGCAGAAACGTAAGAGCCAGGACAAAAACCTGGGGGAGGAAAAAGGATAAAATAGTGATCATCTCTTATAGAAAGATATTCCGAGAGCAGCAAAATCTTACACACACTTTAATAAATATCGGTGGTTCTCGCAAAACATCATTTGACAGAGTCTCAACTTGAATCTGCCACTATAAATGTATAAATTGTGTGCAAGGTAACACCTATTTGAATATGAACTGTGTCAAGTGAGATTATTTTCTCCATGCAATAGGATAAAAGCTCTGATTTCTAGCGTCCCATTTCCAACTGAGACAGATGTTGGTTAAGTAAATGAAGAGGAGGTAACCAGTTCTCATGGCTTATGTTGTACTCTGATCCTTAGAGAAATTGGCAAAGACTGTTCAGTCTGTCATTCCATCATCACTTACCTGGCTGCACACCTGATTAGGTGGATTAGCAGGGAGAAAAAACATTTCAGAATCACATAAACATCTGGTGTGATGTGATAGGGCAAATACTGATTCTGTTAGCAGTGACAGGAACATGTGGGAAGAAGATCCTGGTCCAATGTACATAAAGAACCCATGGCACAAAGGCATGCTCTATTAACAAGCATATATTTTAATCATGATTATTTAAAGGGGACTTCACTGCCTTTGAAATTAAGCAGTTAGTTACATTGGTGTGAAGGTTATTTTCAAAGTACTTCCAGCCTTGGGATAGTACAACTGTTCTAAAGTCAGTGCAGTTGCTTATGCCAGATCTATATTTAATCCCATATGTTAGCATATGGAGAAACATCCATTCATATAAGAGAAAAGCTACACATATAATGCAACAATAGGAAGTTTATCCTGGAGAATATGTTTGTTCCCTTACAGCTGGGAACAAAGCTGAATGCTACAGAGAGCTAATGAGCATTGGACTTGCTGTAAAAAGCACAGACTCCCTACGCTGTTGGGCAGGCTCCAAAAGTCTCCCCCATCACCCTTCCAGATTCATTTAGATCAATACAAGCATGTGAATGCCAGAGAATATGTATACAATGTCAGCAGTGATGCACCAAGGACAAAATGTCATGGGAATCCTTAAAGACAGTGTCCATTTTATGATTGTGTCTCAGTTTTTATATCTACTTTTTGTTATTAATTTATCAGATACTAGGGCACTCACTCCAACAAACGTTACTTTCTATTCACGGACTTAGAGACCATTATTCTTGTCTCTTGTAAACAGAGGTGACGTTTTGATTCCAAACACCCACCTGCCATTCTTTGCATTCCTTATGCCTAGACAGTCCAAAAAGTGTGACTGCGTTATACAGCTGCCAAAACTGGACAAAAAAGGAAGAGAAACAATTTAATTAAAAATTTAAAAAGCATTTCAGGCTTAAACAGTTTCAAGCTACTGTAAATTAGCAAATGTTAATACAACAGGGGAAATCTAAGTATCATTTAGAAAGAAGTATTTTAAAAGTTTAAATTGGCTGTAGAAATTAGTCCCCAGTGAATTATGATCAGTTGATCATCAACCTCCCATATTAAACCAACAAAAAATAAAGAATGATCAATTCATCCTGCATAGATTTTCCATCTGTAATTTTGTATACGAGAGGAAAACATTCTTAAGTTTTAGTTCTTTTTCTTAATCAGAATTTGGTATCTGGTGTGGTGCCTGCTGTACAGTCAAAGCGGGGTGAGGACCAGGGGGACAGGACACTGTTCTGTCCCAGGGAGCCTAGTGCTTGATTTAGATTTCACAGAGATTACTCAAGTGAGTAAAGGCTGCAGGACTGAGGCTACAGTTAAACACAGAAATCCAAGTCAAACATTTAACATACCAGATACTAGATGACAGTCCAAGTCACAACATGGAACGGACCTTGCATTTATTAATTTAAAATCACACACTTGACTTAAAAGCTCTGTGTAAAATCCCTAAGGATTCAGCAAAAGCAGGAGGATCTAGCTGGTACGCAAAGAAAGGAACGGAGCTTTATGCATGATGGAGAGCAAGAAAGGCAATCTGAGAGAATACCCAAGGTATTTAGAAGGGTAGCATTTGGGAAGCATAGGTAGTTGGGGAAAACGAGGGCAGAAATTTAGGTGGAGGAGGAGCTGGGCATGGTTATGAAACTAAAGCACTTAAAACTATTGTATCTAAGCCTATACTACAAAATGCAATCAATTGTCATTGATCAAATATATCCCTGCCCCTGACAAAGAGAATAAAATACTCTCATTGCTAAATGCAGGTCCAAATTAAAGGCAACCACAACAGAAAGAAAAAAGTTAGACCAATTTGTCCTAAGAAAGTTATGGGTTGTGGAGGACTGTAAGCAGGATTCATCTGTAGAACTGACAGCCTTCTAATAAGAAAGCCTTACTGGACAACCACAAGAAGTACCCTGTTCTTTTTTAATTGCTAGAACCATCATCAAGGCCAAACTCCTCTGACAGGAAAGAAGAGCTGTAATCTCAAACACAGATCAACCAGATGTATCCTCATTATAAAAGGACAGGAAAGCAAATTCTAGTGACTACAGATTCTGGAATAATCTGGGCTACATTTGTTGTCTTAATTTCAACCATTTTGCAGCATCTTTCTGCAAGGGACACTTTTTTAGTGCTGGGATGCAGTTACTATGCGCACTGTGATCTAAGACAATGTCTAGTATCCTAATGGTGTTACAGCACTGATTGTCACTTTGGGTGCACATGTAACAGTGTAAGATGCAGCAGGTACTTTGCGCAACTCACGTGCCCAAAGAACAGGAAGGGAAGGAGAAACGTCAGCCCTCGCCACATCCAAGACTGAAATCCTTCTGTAAACACACAAGACAGGATGTGAGCTTAAGGGCCAATACACACCTAGACAGAGGAACCAAGTTATTAACAATAACTAAAACTATTCTTGTTTATAATAACAATCACCCCAACCCCTGCATACCTGGAATTACTCTCCAGAAGCAATATCCCACCTAGGCTTGATTTTAACCCTGAAATCTAAACTCCAACCCAGCAGAGACTATCAAGTCCTGCCAGCCACCGCCTGCTGCACTTCAGCCTAAACTGGAAAAGAGGATGGAGGACAAAATGAATATTAGAGAAGATTGTGACAAAATTTGTGGTGGGAGAGAGAGAAGGGAACCTAAGTTTGATTTAACTCTCTTCTGACCTATCATTTTCCAGCACCATCTTGTATCATCTCTTGCTGCATCTTCAGATTGTAAACTTTCAAGGCATGGAATTTTGCATTCTGTGTAAATGCAACACACAGACAGGGCTCGGTATTAAACACTATGTAAAACTAGAATGTTTCCAGTTTACGTCATAAAACCTCTATACCACTTGCACCTACATAGTCAGATTAAGATAGGAAAGAGGCTGGTACTGGAATGACACTACAAAGGTTTTGATCTGCTCTCAGAGTTAACAGGAAAAAAGGTGGGGGAGAAGGAGAGAGAGGAAGAGATATAAGGCTTCAAATCAACCAGCTGCTAAATACAACCCCCACCAAAAACAGGTATTTGCAAGTTAAATATTATGAAAACCTCACCTACTGTAAGATCCAAGTGGTTTCTTTCCCCTAATGCACGAAGTCTATAAAGGCAGCCACTTTGGTAATAATATTGTAGGAACTGAACACAGCCTGGAAAATAAGAAAACGAGTCCTTTCGTGCATTGGGAGCAAGGGAAAAAAAATCAAGTTGAACTAGCTACTTCAGCACAAACACCAAGAAGAATTAATAAAATTATCAGTTAACTTAGATTAATATTCAGGTTCCTCTAGGCACACAACACTAATATGGAAGAAGCCTTCAATTCTAAGCATTGGCAAAAAAAGATATACTTACTTTGAAAAATTGAAAATGCTAAAAATTGATTGCGAAACATTTGATACATGAGTCCATCCGGCCTAAGAGAGCAAAAAACACACATGCTGTATTAGTTTAAGAGAGCATTAGCGTAGGGGGCTTTCCCTTTCTTTCAGTCAAGTGTGAGCCCATGAGTGCTAAAAGCAAGCAGAGCATATGCATACTGGAGAACAAAAACAGTGAACGGTACAAATCTTAAGTTACACCTGAGTATATGGCAGAGCTTATGATGTCATAATATCCAAACATCCCAGTTCCAGTTCTGGGTTGTAGGCACTTCCTGTCATCAGCCCTTCCTAGGTGATACCTTAAAATGCTGTCTCTCTATTAGTCAAACCAGAGCAGTTCTGTGTCTGATTTTTAATTAAGCTGTATGGTGCCTAAAGTAAGTGGAAAGATCTTTATATGGAATTTTCATATAAGAAGTGAGAGAACTTAAGCCAAGGTTTCTTTATTAAGAAAGATAACACCGCAGAAGTTTAAAAAAGCAGGAGATAAAAATTAAACTCACTACAAAGCATCCGTTTGAAGGTTACTTTCACTTTGCTGAACCCAGATTACAAACCAAGTGAAAAAGGTTCTAAATATAAATTCAGCTCATGCCATTCGCTGTCTATATAAAGGCATTAATTTGCTTATCTTCTCACAAATTTCTCAACACTTTCTACACAGCAGGAAATCGGCAACAAAGATAGTTTACTAGTACAGCTGCTAAGGTTTGGTTTCTTATTTAAGAGGGAAAAAAACGCAAATGTGAACTCTCCTGTAACACCATGTTTATCAGGCAAACTCACGTGTCAGGAAAAAGCACATTAAAGGTTCAAAGCTTCCATCCTGTGCCAGTGCAGACATTTCCACCAGGCCCCTTCAGACTGCCTCATCTGACAGTTTAAAACAGATCACTTGGGGCTGGGGGCCCTCCCCCCCCAAATAAATAAATAAAATTAGCAGGTTAAAAAGAAAACTCACCATGTTAACATCACTCCAGATAGAAACGTGGAAACATAATGATGAGACACCCACCAGCCCTTAATCCTGAAAACAAAAATAAAGTCGTTAGCAGAGAGAGTCCGGCATGACGTGATGAACATTTTCAGCCTGAGCAAACTGAACTCAAATAGCTTGGTCTGGTCACATGTCTTGAGAGCGATTTCTGACCTGAGACTACAGGCGATATCATTCTTTTAGCATGTAGAGAGCGAGTCTGACCAAGAGGAACACCTCACAAGGCAGAGAAGTCATAACACTCCCACTTCCAGACTAATTCCACATTATGATAAGATGCTGTCGGGAGGCAAAAAATAACCATAGCTTTTGTTTCTGCAGTTCACAGCTGTAAGTCAACCCGATGGCAAGCAATAGCAGAAGACCTCACACCTATTCACTCACCAAACAAGTACCAGGCACACTCCTCCCCGACCCAGTCCCAGCAGGAACAACCTTCCACTCAGGGATGGGAAGCACCAAGTCCTCTTGGCCTATCGTACGTTTCCACGGACCGGTGGACTGACCAGTGTCCAGAGCGGT